AGAATCATGCCGCACCAAGTCATTTACTACATTTAGCAAGCCACTGCTAAAACATCTCTGCCATGAATTTCTTCTAATTTCTTTCTCTTCTATTAATACTTCTCTAAAGCCATTGAGGCAGGTGGTCAGCACCACCATCTTGTGGCAGGCACTTCCATGAATTAATCCTACTGCATGATGAGAGATTTCATTCCACTAACTATAAAGTTCCTGATATATCACAGAAGCTAGCTCTGAAGTCCTAAGGCTAAACCTCTCAAGGGCATCATAAGGATCACTGATAAACAGTACTATAGAGTTCTATGTACGTACATGATTTCAAATTGTTTTATATATTTTCAGCTCCAATATTTTAAACTGCCTCTTCTCTACTCCAGCTATTTTAAACTCCATTATGCTACCTAGAGATCTTACAATATAGGTCCGAACATAAATGATTTAATATACAAAACAAATACTAAGATAATATACCACTCGTATACTAAAAAGAGTTATCAGCCAGCTGAAGAGAAGTTTGTAGAAAAAGAAAATATTCACAGAGGAAAAATAGTAATGAAGAGGGCACCACAAAACAGTCCAATTAGGATTGAGTGTATTTGCTGGTTATGAAATACTGGCTATTAGAGATGAGAATAGGAAAATGGGTAGAAAAAGGAAGGGGACAGGATCCATGAACAGGGCATTGCTGGATGGCTGGTTGGAACCTTGATCATGGATATTTCACACTGCGACATTTTGTTATAGGTCCCAATTGTTAGTAGAAACAATAACACTGTTATCCCTGCCTTGGATTTGAATTTTCATTATTAGGGAAAACATGCTTCCTGAAGAAAATGAGGTATAATAAAGCCCAGCAATAGATTTTTAGGCTATAACTAGAACATGGAAGCCTTTTTAAAAAATAAATAATAAAGCAATCCTAAAACATGTGGTCTCAGATGGTGTTCTAAGTGCCTAGTGTTATGAACTATGCAGTTCAAACCAGCAAGCAAGCTGGAATTGCACAACTCAAACGGAGAACTTGGAAACATTAGTTTTAG